CCCCAAAACCCCAAAACCCCAAAACCCCAAAACCCCTGACTGTTATAAATTACATAGACCAAGCCATAAATAAGTTGAGAGTTCATGAAGGGTCCTTTCACTTCTGTTTCTATCCTTCTAGTTAATGCTAAAGCAGCTGTAATGTGGACTCTCTAAAGGTCTTTTAATATACAGAGAAGGATCAGCATGAGACCTTCTTGTTTACATTCTAATAAGTTTAATATAGATTAGAAATGAGCCTATTCTTAATGAAGAAACCCTAGATGACTCCACAGTCTTATTTTTCATATCTTTAAGCCAACTCTCAGTGATGGTTCCTCAGTGGTAAAACTTGATTTATAGATGAATATTCCCATTTAGGAAAGCTCATTTGTGAAGCTTCTGCTAAACTACAAATAACGAAGTTAGGCCAAGTCGATTCCTGCCTTTGTGTTGTATTGTAAGGCTGAAATTTTTGAATGAGGCAGATTAGTCTTGAGTCAAGAAGTAGAATATCCGCAGCCTTTGAGTTTAATCTTTAGCCCCCAATTCCCTCTTTTATCTACTACTGAGAGAGCACTTCTGCAGCTATTGAGTCTCTCAAAAGGTATTATAAATTAACTTGTCTTAATTTGGAAGCAGAACTTTTTGAGAATAAACTGAGCCTTTAAGATAATGCTAAGTCATAAAAATTGATATTTGATATCAGAAATTGGTTATTTTTGATTTGCTTATTTGAGTTGAAGTTAGAATCCTTTGATGAACTGATCAACATAGGCCTTGAATTTACTAGAAGAGTTGTCTTTTCTCTTATTCCCATTATTAGCTGTTGAGGCTCTGAAATCAGCATAATCACTGTTTACATAATTTTGAGTATCAAATGCTGTTTTGAATGATTGGCCTATAGGTGATCACACCAGAAGCTTACTTGAACCTGCTGTCTTTGTATAGGAATTCAGGTGCTTTTGTCAAGAACTCAGTCTCTCATTGGTTAAGCCTGGTGTGATGTTTGAGCAAATTTTCCTACGAGGGTTTATAGATGAAGCATTTTGCTTCTTGTTCTGACCAGAAAATTGATTTAAGCGTGTTTTAATGTGGCTTATCTCAAAACTATAAATTATTATCCAAGCCGTGCCTCTTTAGAGCCATTTTTCTCATATAATTCTCTACTGTTGGGCCTTTATTTTGATTCAGATTTCAGAGAATATGCAAGTCTGTTATCAACCTTTGCAGTTCTCACAGAGGCAGATCTTTGATGCTTCCTGCTACTATCCTCAGGTTTTTGTTTTTGTATTGGCTTTAGAGCTTCAGACATTCCCTTCTTCATCATTTTGACTAAAAATTAGGGGAAAGAAGTACATGATATGGCTTTGAGGTTGATTCTCATCGGTGATAGCCTCTTGGCTTTCGGCTTGAGTCTTTTTCTCAATTTAATAGAGAAATCAAAGGTGTTATCATCACTTTCGACACCACCTTCCTGGATGGAAGTAGATGGGTAGTAAACTGAGTTTAGATTGCTTGGAGTGCCCCTATCATGCTTCGCATGATAGGGTGCTTTCATAGCACTAATTAAAGCATGCCTTCTATCTCCATGCTTCCTCTTCTTTGGTGGAGATCTCCTTGCATTCTTGGGTGAATACAACTTGGCTTCATCATTTGGTACTTTCTCCTGAATACTTTTATTTTATATTCTTTATTCTGTTATGGAAGGCTGTCTTGTCTTTGTAAAAGATCAGATCGGAAATCTTGGTCCAGGATGATCTCTCTATTTTCTCCTTCCTGGGACTGAAGGTCTTGAATAAATGGTCATCTGAGAGACTTGAATCTGAAGAGTAGTCTATAACGTTAGGTTGATGTAGAATACTCAAGGCATTATTTTATCTCCATTTTATTATTGTAAGCAGCAATCATGAAGTCCATTTTCTCCTGAGTTGTTCTGAATGATGTCTATATGATATAAACTCAGAGTTTTTCAAATTCAGGCCTACCTGCCTCTTGTTCTTATTGAATCTACGTAGACTGAGAGTGATCTTATTTGTTCTAAAGTATGTGAAATATAACCTACCTTAGCTGGACTATGATGGTTGATGGTGTCAAGGTTGAACGATACTGAATTTGTCGATTCTATATAAGACGTAGATTAGCAAACAACACTTCCTTGAGTCAACCAAGTACCTTTATTTCCTGAAGCTTTTGGTGATGCTTTGGTTTAAGCTGGGGCCGATAGATATAGATTTTGATTTCTCATGTTTATTCATTTCTTTCCGCTTAAGACTCATTTTCAATAATTTATGAGTATCGAGGGGTTTTGGGGTTTTGGGGTTTTGGGG